CTCATCAGCATCTCCTCCAGTCTAATCAGTGCATCAGAGCGCCTCCTCTGGTCTAATCAGCGCCTCAGATCACCTCCTCCGATCTCGTCAGCGTCTCAGAGCATCTCCTCCGGTCTCGTCAGTGTCTCCGGTCTCGTCAGTGTCTCAGAGCATCTCCTCCGGTCTCGTCAGTGTCTCAGAGCATCTCCTCCGGTCTCGTCAGCGTCTCAGAGCATCTCCTCCGGTCTCGTCAGTGTCTCGGAGCATCTCCTCCGGTCTCGTCAGCGTCTCAGATCACCTCCTCCGGTCTCGTCAGCATCTCAGAGCATCTCCTCCGGTCTCGTCAGTGTCTCAGAGCATCTCCTCTGGTCTCATCAGCGTCTCAAATCACCTCCTCCGGTCTCGTCAGCATCTCAGAGCATCTCCTCCGGTCTCGTCAGTGTCTCAGAGCATCTCCTCCGGTCTCGTCAGTGTCTCAGATCGTCTCCTCTGGTCTAGTCAGTGTCTCAGAGCTTCTCCTCCGGTCTCATCGGTGTCTCAGATCATCTCCTCTGGTCTCATCAGTGTCTCAGATCGTCTCCTTCGGTTTCGTCAGCATCTCAGAGCATCTCCTCCGGTCTCGTCAGTGTCTCAGAGCATCTCCTCCGGTCTCGTCAGCGTCTTAGAGCATCTCCTCCGGTCTCGTCAGTGTCTCAGATCGTCTCCTCTGGTCTAGTCAGTGTCTCAGAGCTTCTCCTCCGGTCTCATCGGTGTCTCAGAGCATCTCCTCCGGTCTTATCAGTGTCTCAGAGCATCTCCTCCGGTCTTATCAGTGTCTCAGAGCATCTCATCTGGTCTTGTCAGTGTCTCAGATAGTCTCCTCCAGTCTCATCAGTGTATCAGATCGTCTCCTCTGGTGTTATCAGTGTCTCAGAGCATCTCATCTGGTCTCATCAGTGTCTCAGATATCTCCTCTGGTCTCATCATCATCTCAGAGCATCTCCTCTGGTCTCATCCTCGTCTCATTTATCCGGGATGAATTGAGTTCACACTTGGGCTCTGTGGAGAGTAGCTTTTGTGTGTCTGTCAGGATGGCTATTGACTTTAACAGAGTGTGTGATGGTTAACTCTTCAGTGCTTTTGTTGAGCACTGACAGCGGTAATGAGACTGTGTGCATCTCTCCATGGGCATTATGGGACGTCTGAACGCCAGGCTCTCATAAACCCCATTAAATATCACAGCTCCGCTCGAGCTGCAGCTGCGCCATGGCAACCGTTGCGCTTCCGCGCAGTGAATGCAGGCGCCGTCTGCGATGTTTGTAGCAGGGATCGGTGATTGAAACAGCAGGAACCACAGTGGAACCGCTGAGCTTTACTCTCATTCCTGCTTAATTAAAACCTTCGCTTGAGTGTCAAACTGCCGCTAATAGTTTTTTGATTGACAGGACACCGTGATTCAGGTATTTTTAATCTTCTCACATTTCTGTGGGAAACCTTCATGAACAGCAGATGGTTTTTGGCAGAAGTTTCATTAGTGGCAGACAGATTGATCCCAAACCTCCCACAAACACACACTAATGTGGGACGTATGTCCGTATATCAGTGTGTTTCACAGCAGATGTTTGCAGTCACTTTAAAGGAACATTTCACTTACTAAAGTTACTGATGATCCCATACAACTATATATATTGCATTATAGTCAATACATTATATTATATAGTCAATGCATTTTGTTGCCTTTTATTCAAAAGGCAACAAAATGCATTGACATTTTTAAGTTACATGCACAATAAAATGTTTTTAATATATTTAAATATATAGAAGTATGAATGCATGGAAATATATATATATAAAACATTTTTTTAATTATTAATAATAAAAAAGTATGTAAATATATTTTATGTAAATATTTATAAACATATATTTAGGTAAATATATTTTAAATATATTAGCAATCTTTATATATATATATATATATATATATATATATATATATTAGGGCTGCAACAACTAATCGATAAAATCAATTATTATCGATTATGAAAATCATCGACAACGATTCTCATTATCGATTATTGGGAATTTCCCACCGTGAACGTCCAACTTCAGCCGGTTGCGTCAAATTACAGCACATGCATCTAAAAATAGTGGAGGAAACAGAATGAGAAGATGCGGGAGAGTTACGTGATCTAAGCTACCCAAAGCATGATAATTCTTTATTTTAAGCTTTAAGCTAATGCATTAGCGTAATCGCTTGCCCTGTCAGGCGCTTTAACAGATGATGCGTGTGCGTACTCAGTGCAAAAACTTTTAGTTTATGGTCATATCCTTATGTATAAATGTCACAATTTCACGCAAGCATTTCCATTTTTGCATAAAGGTCCGTCCTGACAGTCTGTTTTAAAAGGACAGTTCACCCAAAAATTTAAAATTGATGTTTATCTGCTTACCCCCAGGGCATCCAAGATGTAGGTGACTTTGTTTCTTCAGTAGAACCCATTTGATGATTTTTAAGTCCAACCGTTGCAGTCTATCAGTCGTATAATGCATGGCAATGGTAACAAAATCTATGAGTGTAAAAAAAACATGCACAGACAAATCCAAATTAAACCCTGCGGCTCGTGACGACACATTGATGTCCTAAGACACGAAACGATCGGTTTGTGCCAGAAACCCAACAGTATTTATATAATTTTTTACCTCTAATACACCACTATGTCCAACTGCTTTGAGCACGCGCACGGCTTCCAGTGCGTGAGGTGTGTACACGCTCTGGCGTAGTTTAAGCAAGCGCCGGAAGTGATCTCTCGCGGTTGATTGTTCTTCGGCTGGATATCAACACACCGTGACGAGTCGGCTGCCTCCCCCTAATTATCAGCATCACCCCGTCCCTTAATCGCTGCCCTTCGCCAGGAGGGGCGCTGAAATAGCCAGGGCTGGCGGCGTGTGATGGGGCACACCTGAACCGAATGGAGCCTCATCACCGCCGCTGTTTAAATGCCGAGCGCGCCTCTCCTCGGGAGACCGGTCTCTTCCCCGTGCATGCACGCTGGTTTCCTCGTGGGTCCAGGAGGGGTGCGTAGAGGGACTACCGTGCCGCCAGAGTCGTGAGCTGCCGGACCCGCAGTCCGGACGAGAACCGCACCCGTTACACGGCCGTCGGGCAAGGATGCCGGGCCGTCTAGTCCCTTCAAGTGCCGTGAGCAGAGAGAAGGACGAAGCCGCTGATAGAAGCCGCCGCCCCTCGCGCCCCGGACCGGAGAGGGGAGCGCGAGCAGCCGCCAGACTCCGCCCCTTACCTGGACCCTTCCTTCCTGACCACTGCCCTTCCCTTCACAAACCCCGCAGCACGACGAGGACACCAGATCCCCTGTTTATTTTGGACACTTGATTCCCTTTTTTCTGGACACTTTGTTTATTTTCTGTTAATAAACGGTGTCTGCCGTTTGCTCCTCCCGCGACAACACACCCGTTAACGAAAACTACGCCAGAGCGTGTACACACCTCATGCACCAGAAGTCGTGTGCGTGCTCAAAGCAGTTGGACATAGTGGTGTATTAGAGGTAAAAAATTATATAAATACTGTTCGGTTTCTGGCACAAAATGATGGTTTCGTGTGTTAGGACATCAGTGTGTCGTCAGGAGCTGCAGGGTTTAATTTGGATTTGTCTGTGCATGTTTTTTTTTACTCTCATAGATTTTGTTACCATTGCCATGCATTATACGACTGACAGACTGCAACGGCTGGAGTTAAAAATCATCAAATGTGTTCTACTGAAGAAACAAAGTCACCTACATCTTGGATGCCCTGGGGGTAAGCAGATAAACAAACTTTTTGGGTGAACTATCCCTTTAAGTTTTAATCTTTACTAAAGATGCAAGCACATCAGACAGATGGAAAACAGACAATTAATAATCAGCGCAAAAACATTTATTGTGCTGAAATATCTGTTGTTGAAAGTTAAATTAAGGTTTAAAGGTCAACATGCTTTACGAGTATTTTATGAGAGTAGGAACTGTAAGGGGAAAAACCGCGTGTAATTGTCTGAATATAAATATCAGACGCTTCATAACCGCCTTTAACAGGATAAAGAAATGACAGGAAGACGTGACTGTGGTCAAAGTGAACGTGTGTTCCTGCAGAACATTACTCTTACCTATTGGTTACCACTGAGTTTGTGATTTTATTCGTCTTTATCATCTTTATTATTATTAAAAATTTTAATGCAGAGATTTAAACTATGTTCACTATATACAATCCTCAACACATTTATTAAAACAAATGTATGTAAGGTTTTCAACAAATGATGGTTTGTGCCACTGCTGCTCTAAACTAAGAGTACTGGTGATTACCAAAATCATTTTTTAGCTTTCTGTATGGGTTAGTCCTCCAATATGCGTAAGCTCTTTAGTAACAGTAGTAGGCTATTTCGAATGCTATAATATAATTATTGCTGTTATCTATGAAAGAAAGGCAGAGAGCTTTATAGTGTTTTTTTTTTTCAGATACCCAATTTTTTTTTAGGCAGTAACGCAATAGTGTAACGCATTATTTTTAAAAGTAACTTTCCCCAACACTGATGGTAATTGTGGCATTCTGGCAGAAACTTGACTGACCAATGAGATTGGACTGGGGGCGGAGCTTCCAAATGCATCGGCATATATAAGCAGAAAACAGCTGTTCCGTATGAGAGTCACGGCGGGTTTAGACAGAATCTCACACTCATTTGAACACCCGGAGAATCATCCCTGCATCATGTCTGAATCTACGTCTCTCTTCAGATAAAGCCCTGGATCAGTGCTCTACAAGTGCTCTACATGCACAGCATTCTGGGTAAATCTCTCAGAGATCACACGGATCCGGATCTCAAGACTAAACCTCACAAACGCCTTCACACACACACATCTGGCCCACAAGCAGCAGACACCGGTGAAGCACGCACGAGCGCCTGCGTGTGAATGTACGTGTGCATGCGTGTGGATGAAGGACGCTCACAGGTCTCAGATCAGCAGATGAGCGTGTCCAGTGTGTCGGATCTTACCGGGCTGCAGCAGGATGAGTTGAGCCATCGCCTGACTGTTTCCCGCCTCGTTCTCAGCGATACACTGATAGAAACCCTCGTCTGAGCGAACCAGACCCAGAATCTGGAGATGACCGCCCTCCTGCAGACCACACACGGGACAATCACACATTCACAATGGAAACATCAAGACTTCAGGACGTCAGCTTAAATGGGATCATGCATTTACAAAATATTAGCACTTTACAGGACAAAAAATGTTATTAAAAAATGACTAAAAGTAAGTTTTTGTTAAGATATTTGAATAGGAATACAATTAAAATAAATGACTAAATGTAAAAAAAAAAAGAATGAATTAATAATGAAACTAAATAAATGTTAATGAATAAATAAATAATAATGAATTAATGAAATGTAATATATATATATATAAAGTCAAAGCACAGACTCCAGTCCAGCTGATTTTCCTCTCAGAGAATGAGGGGCTCATTTCAGTAGCAAAATTACGTATCGATCGGCCTCATCTCAATAATAGTCTGAATCGGCCTGATTGCAATGAGATGGATTTGTGATGTTTGTCCACTTTAAAGAAGAGAAACCACACGAGCGTCAACAGAACACAGATGCTCCATTCCATAACAACCATATGTTTGATACATTTCAGTGAGTTATTATTGAAAATTACCTGACATTAAAATTCATAATATCATATTCATTTAGATTCATTTTACAATACTATACATATTCAATGAGCTCAACTGAGCTAATGTTCATTTTCAAAAATAATTAAAAAAAACAAATTCATTTAATTTCTTTTATCAAAATATACAGGCCCTTGGCTTTTGGGGGCCCAAGGCGGTCGCCTACCTTTGCCTAATGGTTAAGTCCGCCTCTGCGACACACACACAAACTCACTCACACACACACACACACACAGCTAGAGGACACGCGTTCCGCTGAGACTCTAAACTGCATTGGTTCCTCTGATTTGCTCTTAAACTGGAATCAAAGCGGGCGTGATGCGCTGAACACTGATGTGTGATCAATAAGCAAACAGGAGCTCTATGAATGCAGACGCAGCACTCCAGGCCTGAGGCCATGCGCTGTGATTAATTACTCGGCTGTTCTACACCATTAGCCAAAGCGCTTTCTTCCCAACAATCAGCTCAGAGCGGAAGCTGGCATTCTACGGCCGCTGTAATCTGCGTGTCGGACGCATCAGCATCAATACGTCATTAGCTGTGCGTATCTTTATCTGTGCTGTATTGCACTAATTAAACCCAAACGATTTCCATTAGAAGCGGGCGTCTCCTCTATCACCGGCGGGTTTGAACTAACTCACCAATTACAACGTGTTAAAAACCACCAAACGCCAGCCGTGTTGCTCTCAACTTATTCAATTACAGCTCATAATGAAATCAAACACATTTATGAAACATTATGAGGAGCAGGAAGACGAGAACGCTGCATTTATAGATGATTCTTAAAGCGATAGTCCACCCTAAAATCATCATTCTGATGTCATTTACACCCATCATGTCACTTAAACCTGTATGATGTTTGTTCTGTGCAACTCAAAAGAAGATATTTAGAGATTTTGGAAAACTTTTATATCCTATTTTGTGTTCTTCGGATGAAAGATATCCATATAAATACTTTTGGGTGAAAATCTGTTGTTGCCGTATTTGTATCCCGGTCCTGTTCTTGTTTGAGTTGTTTTTCAGATTTTGTTTGATCTGTTTCTGTTTCTGTTTGGCTTAGTCTGTTTTGGTTTGGCAAATAAACCTGCATTTGAACCCAGACCCCTGTTTACACAGTGTGTTCCCTTACCATACCGTGACAGAATAAGCCAGCAAACATGGGTCCAGCAGGGAAGTTCCTCAATATTCACCAGGGAGACCGGAGCATTGAGGATTACGCCAGGGACTTCGTTGGAGTGGCTCGCCGGTCGGCTACGGAGAAGACCTGCCTCATGGTCTTTTTCTGGGGAGGCCTAGTCGAGCCCTTCAAGTCCCTTATGCCTTACTGGCACCCCGAGGAGTCACTGGAGGAATATGTCAATTGTGCTCTGTACTTGAGAGGCTCATCCTTCAGGGTGGAGTTCGCTGTGGAGCCCGCTCACAGTTCTCTCGGAGCGGTGATTCAGGAGACTTCAGAGGTCTTGTCAGCCGTTCCGAGAATCTCATGCCCGTTCCTGGGCCGTCCCGGCAAAGTCCACTCTCAGAGCTCACGAGGCGGCGGAGTCCGCTCACAAGGCTCCTGAGGCGGCGGTGTACACTCACAGAGCTCCCGAGACAGCAGTTCCCGCTCACAAGGTTTCCGAAGTGGCGGAGCCCGCTGACGTTCTCTCCGAGGCGGTTTACACTCAGAGAGCTCCCGAGACGGCAGTTCCCGCTCACAAGGTTCCCGAAGTGGCGGAGCCCTCTGATGTTCTCTCCGAGGCAGCGGGGCTCGCTTCTGGCCTTACCGAAGCGGAGGAGCCTGCTGATGTTCTCTCCAAGGCGGCGGGGTTCGCTTCTGGCCTTCCCGAAGTGGAGGAGCCTGCTGATGTTCTCTCCGAGGCAGCGGGGCTCGCTTCTGGCCTTATCGAAGCGGAGGAGCCTGCTGATGTTCTCTCCGAGGCAGCGGGGCTCGCTTCTGGCCTTATCGAAGCGGAGGAGCCTGCTGATGTTCTCTCCGAGGCGGCGGGGTTCGCTGCTGGCCTTCCCGAAGTGGAGGAGCCCGCTGATGTTCTCTCCAAGGTGGCGGGGCTCGCTTCTGGCCTTACTGAAGTGGAGGAGCCCGCTGATGTTCTCTCCGAGGTGGCGGGGCTCGCTTCTGGCCTTCCCGAAGTGGAGGAGCCCGCTGATGTTCTCTCCAAGGCGGCGGGGTTCGCTTCTGGCCTTATCGAAGCGGAGGAGCCTGCTGATGTTCTCTCTGAGGCGGCGGGGCTCGCTTCTGGCCTTCCCGAAGCGGCGGAGCCCTCTGATGTTCTCTCCGAGGCGGCGGGGCTCGCTTCTGGCCTTCCCGAAGCGGAGGAGCCCTCTGATGTTCTCTCCGAGGCGGCGGGGCTCGCTTCTGGCCTTATCGAAGCAGAGGAGCCTGCTGATGTTCTCTCCGAGGCGGCGGGGCTCGTTTCAGGCCTTCCCGAAGTGGAGGAGCCCGCTGATGTTCTCTCTGAGGTGGCGGGGCTCGCTTCTGGCCTTCCCGAGGTGGAGGAGCCCGCTGATGTTCAGTTATTATACCCTCAGCTGTTCCCCATTATCATGGTCTATTTATACACTACACTCCCGCTACTCTGTCTGGTTATTAATGAGTTGTTTGTAGTTTATGGATTCAAGCACATTCTGTTGCCGTATTTGTATCCCGGTCCTGTTCTTGTTTGAGTTGTTTTTCAGTTCTTGTGTGATCTGTTTCTGTTTAGCAAATAAACCTACATTTGGACCCAGATCCCTGTTTACACAGTGCGTTCCCTTACTGCACCGTGACAATGCTGTTCTTTTGAACTTTCTATTCATCTGTGAATTATTTAGATTTGTCTTTTTTTCGTGTTTTCTTTTTACAATTTTTACTTTACTTTTAGTGTGCATACATATAGGTAACTAAAATTAAAACTAAAACATATTTGTCATTTAAAATAAAATAAATGTTAACTGGAATAATTTTTTTTTTAAATATATCTTTTTTAATGAAATGTTTATCAGTTTAACTTGAACTAAATTAACTAAATTATTTTAATTATTAAAAAAAAAACTATACAGGCATATAAAAAAATGACAAAAAAACATCAAATTTACTAAAATTTTAACTAAAATGTTAAAATAGAAAATATAAAAAATAAAAACTATAATAATAAATATATCCAACTCCCATCTATAAATGGAGCAGAGGCTGACGGGATGCATTTGACCTGATGTGTGAAAGCATCTGTCTATAGAGCGATTCATTCACGACACACCTGAACGAACACAAACAACACGGCCTGAACGGCCTAATGGTGTCCAGTGATGAAAGGAGCGGATATTAGAAACCCAGATCAGCTCAGCTCTCACACAGGTGAATGAAAGAGAGAGATTGGCATTAACATGACAAAAGACTGAGTAGACCGTCATAATGACTCTCATCCTCATCCATTCAGATGGAAATACACACATAGTAAACATCTGCCACACACGAGTGTGTGTGTGTGTGTGTGTGTGTCTCAGGAGGGAGTCAGTGACAGCCTGTCGCACCGATGCTGACATTTAAACTGTCCGCGGTCCCCAGTGATGCACGTGTGTGTGTGTGTGTGTGTGAGAGAGAGAGAGAGTGTGTGTGTGTGTGTGTGTGTGTGTACACATCGGCAGAGAGACCGGTTGTTATGACAATAAAACCTCATTTCAGTTTGTATTCTCAAACAACAATACATAATTTATGAGTCTAGAGACAGTGAGCACAGCACACGCAGAAATCACCCATAATCCTCCACTCATGGGCATTAGGATTACACTCACTCATTACACACATACTAATTAAACACGACTGTTTACACTACAATAAACACACACACATTTATCTGTCTATATTTTGTACATTACTGTTCAAAAAGATTTTTTAAATAATTTTGAAAGACGTCTCTTCTGCTCACCAAGGCTGCATTTAGTTGATCAAAAATACAGTAAAATTGTGAAATATTATTATAATGTAAAGCAGCTGTTTTCTGTGTGAATCTCTGTTAAACTGTAATTTATTTCTGTGATCAAAGCTGAATTTTCAACATCATTACTCCAGTCTTCAGTGTCACATGATCTTCAGAAATCATTCTAATATGCTGATTTGCTGCTTAAGAAACACAAATGTCTTTACTGTCACTTTTGATCAATTTAATGTGTCATTGATGAATACAATGACAGTATTAGTTACAGTGCTGCTTGAAAGTTTGTGAACCCATCAGAATTTTCAATATTTCTGCATAAATATGACCCAAAAGGTCATCAGAAGTCCTGAAAGTAGACAAAGAGAATCCAGTCAAACAAAGGAGACAAAACTACTGGAAAATGATCCAATATCACATATCGGTGAGTGGCTAAAGTGTGAATCTCTAGGATTAGCTGTTAATTTGAAGCGGTCGACCAACAGAGATCACTATAAAAGTCTGCGAGGTCGCAAAGGACCCCAGGGTAACTTCTAAAATAACTAAAGGCCTTTCTCACA